GCCACAGGAAGACTTAAGGACACTTCCCAACCAAGACAGGTGACATACGCAAGGAGTACCCAGGTAAGCAACAGAGGTCCAAATAGTCTTGAAAATCGGGGGGGTGGCACACGCAGCAATTCAAGGCCTTAAATACCTCTATACCCATGTTTGTAGTATGGGGAATAAGCAGGAGGAACTTGCCCTCTGAATAGCCTGTTCAAACCCGGACATAGTAGGGCTCACAGAAACATTGTGGGATTCATCCCATGACTGGGCAGTTAACATTAGGGGCTATAGGCTTTAGAGACAAGATAGAACAGGAAGGAAAGGTGGGGGTGTAGCGCTCTACGTCAAAGAGCAATACACATCCTCTACCAGCAGGATGCGGTCAGAGAAGGGGCAGGCTGAAGTGCTCTGGGTCAAGATACAGGGGGGTCATGGGGAAAGAGACTCAACGGTGGGGGTCTATTACAGACCTCCCAACCAAGGGGAAGAGCTGGACCGCAAATTCTCAGGTCAGCTTGTGGAGGCACTTAAGGCAAGGGATGTAGTTGTCACGGGTGATCTAAATTACCCGGATATCTGCTGGGATGAGCAGTCAGCCAGGTCGGACCGCTCATGTAGATTCCTGGCTGAGATACAGGACCTCCATTTAACCCAGGAGGTGCACAGTCCTACCAGGGAGAATGTCCTGCTAGACTTGGTCCTGGCCACAGGTGACGACCTGGCAAGAGGGCTCCAGGTCCTTGACCACCTGGGCAATAGTGATCATCGCTTGCTGGAATTCACCATCCAGCACAGGGTGTCAAAGCCCTGCAGCAAGGCAGTAGCCCTAGACTTTAAGAGGGCTAACTTCAACGAGTTGAGATTAGCTGGAGAGATGCTGGGGTCCTCGAGGGTAGGGGAACTCATTGCCCAAGATGAGTGGTCGTTCCTGAAGGAGATGATACTCAGAGCCCAAGGGATGACAATCCCAACGAGAAGCAAACGGGGCAAGAGTGCCCAAAAGTCCCCCTGGCTCACCAAGGGCATTCATAATGCCCGACTGCCAAAAAGGAGGCGTACACCCAGTGGAAGGGAGGGGCTATCACCAAAGAGGAGTATACCTCCACTGCTGGGGTCTGTAGGGGGGCTGTTAGAAAAACTAAGGCAGATATGGAGCTAGGGCTAGCATCAAGGATCAAAGATAATAAAAAGTCCTTTTTTAAATATATAGGGAGAATGAAGAAGGCACCGGGTAATGTGGCACCCCTGCAGGATATGTTTGGCAATCTGGTGGTTGCACCAGAGGAGAAAGCATAGTTTCATAGTTAGTAGGGTCGGAAGGGACCTGAGCAGATCATCAAGTCAGAACCCCTGCTGTGGCAGGAAAGAGTCCTGGGGTCAAACGACCCCAGCAAGGTGATTGTCAAGCCTTGTCTTAAAGACCCCCAGGGAAGGAGCCAGCACAACTTTGCTTGGAAGTTGGTTGCAGATCCTAGCCGCCCTGACAGTGAAGTAGCGCCTCCTGATGTCTAATCTGAATTTACTCTCTGCCAGCTTGTGACCATTATTTCTAGTCACTCCTGGTAGTGCTCAGGGAAACAGGGACTTTCCCAGCGCCTGCTGGTCCCCTCTGACTAGTTTGTAACAGGCCACTAGATCCCCCCTCAGCCT